GTGCAGCTCACGCAAAAGCGGTGTTATATGGGAGCGACGAGTCCCTCCCAACACCGCCCGCGCGGCCGCATTCTGGACTAGCTGGAGCCTCCGGATGCTCCTCAAGGGGAGCCCCATGTAGAGAGCATTGCAGTAGTCCAGGCGGGAGGTGACGAGAGCCTGAGTGACTGTGCGCAAGGCGTCCCGGTCCAGAAAAGGTTCTTAAGGAATCCTGAGGATTGTACAAAATAATAGCAATAAAGCAATAAACAATAATACAATTTTATTTGTTTATTTAAAAGATTTGTAAGGCCACTCTGGGCATTTCACAAAACTGTAAAAACCATAAAAACCATGCAACAAAAACTAAAAATCCGATGTTTCAGTCAACTGCTCAGGGTACTCCAATAACCCTACATAGGCTTCACTGCACTATTCCAGTGCCTGGGTAAAAAGCCAGGTTGTAATGGCCTTCCAGATGGCTAAGAAGGTAAGGACTTGCCAAATTGCCACGGGCAGAGTGTTCCATAAGGTATGGGCAGCCACAGAAAAGACATACTTCCTAAGTCCTACTAGATAGCATTAGTTCAGATACCCAATATTTGATCTAGATATACAGTACTCTTGGGGAGAGGTGGTCCCCCAAGTAGCCTGATCCAGTGCCATTATAAAATACAGTTCTCCCATAAGCATTAAATTATCACCATGTTTATAAGGTCTGGTAAAAGTTTGGCCCTAAGTGATTTGGAGCTTGTATCTTTTTTTTAAAGGGATTGTAAATTATTGCAGAAGAAGTCTGTCTATGCGATTGCTAAGACTTGATGACATGTAATCAAATGTAGACATTAAGCACTTCCCCTGCTCTCTTTGAATATGGTTGTCCTTTTTTAAAAGTTTTTTTGTTTTGTTTTGTTTTTAAAAATGTGTTGTTTTTGTCAGGTTACTGATGATGGTGCAGATCCTAACCCATATGTAAAGACATATTTGCTTCCAGACATGCATAAAACCTCTAAGCGGAAAACCAAAATATCACGGAAAACTAGAAATCCAACATTCAATGAAATGGTAAGTTTGAAATAGTTGGGTGGTTTTTCAAAGCAAAATGTAATATAGAAACCATCCACTGTAAACAATAGGAATACAGGTAGTCCTCATTTAACATCCATTCATTCAGTGACCAAAATTACAATGGTGCTAAACGAATGGACTTATGACTGACCCTTGAAGTTCTGGCCATTGCAGCGCCTTCACAGGTGAACAAAATTTGTACATACTTGGACTCATCCACATTTATGACCGCCTTTTGGCTGCCTGCCTGCCTACCCACTCCTACCAGCCACCCCTGCTGCCCAGTCCTGCCCACCATGTCCCCCACACCACATGCCTCTACAATACCAGTCAGGGGCTTCTTGTGTGCCTTTTTTTGTACTAGTGGTGCTTGGTTTTTTTGTGCTAGTGCTTGCTAGGGTTTCTGTTCATGCGCCAGCCAGGACTTACTTTCGTGAACTCTCATGCCAGTGCAGCTAGTGCCTTCTTTGACATGGCTTCCTTTTTTTAAAAAAGAAGGAACCACAAGTACAGTACAGTACAGTACAGTAATGGCATGTGGGAACCAGATAGGTGGGTTGGGGGAGTTCAAGAGGAGGCAGCCTCTCACTTTACCAAAGCTTACGGTTGGGAGAGACCAAGCCAGAAATAGCTTGAATTGGAGCGGTTCCTCAGCTAACTACTAGTGGGATTTGGTTAATGATGACAACAGGGACTATTTGGATTGCTATCGCTAAATCCTAAACTTTGCTGATATTTTGTAAACTGCCTTGTCTTGCACTGCTTCTGAATTTTTTTTATTTTTTTTTAATAGCTTGTGTACAGTGGATATAGCAAAGAAACCCTCAAGCAAAGGGAACTTCAGCTCAGTGTACTCAGTGCTGAATCTCTGCGTGAAAACTTTTTCCTGGGTGGGATCACTCTTTCTTTAAAGGATTTTAACTTAAGCAAGGAGACTGTGAACTGGTACAGGCTTGCTGCTGCACCATATTTGTGAGCCTGACAACTTACAGAGCTGAAGATATGACCTAAATAATCTTAACTCCATTTGTATATGATCACTTTTCTCTACTTGAAGGTAATCCGTACACTTTAGCTTGAAACACTGCAATTTGGTGGGATTGTAGTTGGACCAGCCTTTGCAGAACTTTACACAAGACTTCTGGCAAGTCATCTGCTTTGTGCTTTTACTGCAATATAAGCATTGATGTATATGAATTGTATAAATGTAATAACTTGTTATAAATGCAGTTCTGAATATGAAGAAATGTTTCAAATTCAATCTGAGGGGGTTATCCTGAATTATTTCAATCCCGCTTGAATTGTTTGCCTTATATACTGCAAACTTTTATAATTCTCTTTATAATTTATAATTATGAAGACTTTATAATTCTGCTCTCAGCACATACAGCAGCACAGTTTAAAAAATGATCATGACAAAATTATTTTTCAGTCTGTTAAAAGGGAGGCCCAAGTAGAAGGATAGAAATTCAGTGTAGCATTTGGCCTTATGACTTGTAAAGCTTCTTAGAGGCCATTATTAGAATGAGTGCCAATAATTGAAATTAAATTATAAATAATGGTGCCTTATTTTGTTGCTTATACCTCATTTCTAATATTTAAAACATTTTCCAATGCTAAAAGTTAAACTTGCTAAAAAATGCTTATGTGGTTCATCGTATAAATTCTTTAACATTTCCCCTTTCAATTTAGATCCACTTTAGGTTAGATTCATTAAAAAAAAACCTTACCAGGTTGTTGAACTACAAATATTGTATAAATGCAGATGCAATTGATTTTTCACCATGGTTTGCTGTAAAGCACATGCATTTTTCCTTTAGGTAGATATATGGGCTATTCAACAGTAATTTTGAATTTCAAAGTAGGTCCCACAAAGCATGATTTCTATTATATATGAATTAAAAATATGCATACTATAGAAAAAGGTCAAGTATAAATTGCACTAGCTACTGTATAGAGAAGTTGACACAGTGACCATTGGAGTTAACATTTAGATTTTTTTCATGAGTAGTAAGAGAATAATCCACAAAGCATTTTATTTCAATTAAAACTGATTTGCCATTAGTAAAGATAATAAAAGATACTATGTATGAGGTATGGTAGATTGTATTTCAAATTCATTTCTTTAATTTGTATCCAGCTAATTTGTAACACTTGGAGAAAGCTGGGTATAATTGCAATATACTAAACCCAATATTTTGTTTTTTTTAAAAAAGCTCTTCTAGGAATTAACATTCCACAGAATGGTTAATGTTGAAACCCAAATACTTTAGAATAAAAATACAGACCGCTGAATTTAAAGCAAAAAAACAAAAAAACAAAAATAGCATGATGAATTATACGATAGATGTGTGACAATCTATTGCAGGCAATTAAATGAAAGTATGATATTAAATGGTTGTTAACCTGGGGTGCTGAAATGTTCATAATCGACTGTAAAATAAATTTTGGGATTCCTCAGTGTTAAAACTGCATTGTGATTAATAGAAGCTACTTAACATTTTTAGAAGAGTTTATTAGTTATATGTTAAATATCTAAGTTGTAAGCTATAGAGTAAACTAACTAGATTGTATTTCCTGCTCACTTGATGCTTTTTGAGATGTATTCCATTCCATCAACAAAACCACAAGTCATATAAACACAGGGAAGTAGGCTACTGTTTTTGTGAAACATTGCATTAGATTAACTATAAAGCAATAAATATATACTGCTTTTTTGCAGTCTGTAACTACAGCACAGTGTATCACAGCACAAATCTAGAAATTTTTTTAAAAACCCTTTAATGACGGTCGTTTGCAGCTGCAGTTCTTGTCTGGATGTTAGAATATATGCTGCACCTTACGGTAGTATTGCCATTATTACATCCTGTGCCTTTGCCCACCACCATTTCTCAAAATAACTCCACAATGAATAAAGCTCTTCAGGTACATTCTTATAAAGGTGTTTTTCAATTATCATTAAACATGTAAAGGAGCAACATTAATTTTGCATCTCTTTCAAATTATTTATATTTGTGTGATACACAAAAGTTTTTTTTTAAAATAACACAAATATTTAAGCTGATATACAAAAGGGTAAGAGGGAATAATCACAATCAGATGTAACACTTTACTAAGGAATGTTTTTAAAATGTGGTCTCATGGCATTTTTATACTTTGTGAATGAAATTAAATCCTATGCATCAAATGTGGACTGCAGCTAGAAGTCAGTTTGTGTCTGTACATTTACTTCAACATTTTGAGGAAAACATCTTACTTTAAGAAAAACAACCTCCATATTTTCTGTACTAAATAATTAGTTATGACTTTGCACTGAAAATTTTTATACTGCCTTTTTATGACCTATATGTATATATAAAAAGCATGGGAGATCTGTGGTATTTCTCTATTTTTAAAATGATCCAGAAATGTATCTTGCCTTAAATTTGACTGTTGCTTCCAGGATACTATTAGCTTTTAAACTAAAGAAATATTTCTAGAATCTGCAAAATATTGTTCACTGTGTAATATGGATTTAATTGGTAAACTTATGTTCATTGGTATCAGTGGGCTAAAGTTTAAAGCTTCCATATGTGGAAAAAATTACACCATTCTCAGAATCTATAGGAATTTAATAATCTCTGTGTGGTATTCTCAGTACTGTGATTAACAATTTGGCAAAGGTTTATAAATAATAAAATGCATTATAAGTAAATGTGGATGTTTGCCTTCAATTGTTTCTTTATCTGTAAGAACCAAATACTTCAGCTATATTACACTGATAGCTAATAAAGATGTACATTATTTCTATCTAAGCCTAAACCCAAAATATTTGGGTTAAATGTGACTCCATAACTGTCCTACAATTACATTAAATACTATTTAATAAAAACATTGTGCCTCTTTTTTTCTAAATTCACTAATTTGTATCTGTGGATCAAGAAACCTAAGTGCAAAAGTTTCAATCAGATCTATTCCACTGAGCATTTTTAAGAAAGTTGCTTCAAATATTAACTATTATCTTTACGTTGCCTCTCTGTTCTTTTCTTACACCTAAATCTGTGATCTGTAGTTCTGTTAATCCTAGCACTACTCAGTAGTAGACCATATATTCTAAGTGAAATCTCATGTACTTGGACAAGATTAAATCATTTTGAGAATTACTGCCAAAATCACTGAAATGTCCAGTGTGGTTTCCTACCTTTAATATTTTCACCTAAGAAACACTAAATGGGAAGATAAAGGAAAATATGCTAACCTGCTATACCATCTTTATTTCCAGTAATTCTTGCAGGTCCTTTTAAATTTCTTTAAAATATAAAAATATAGAACTGCTCCAGTGCATTTTTTGTTTGATTTTTCCCCCTATGTTGAGAAAGATCAATTAAAGAATGGTAGGGAGCATTCTTCAATGCTACAGAAGATAACATAGTAGCCTGATTTGCCATTGGGTTGAAATGTCATGACTGCTGTTCTTTCCCCTCACTGCAGCCATTTGGTGGAGCGCCCATTATATATCCCCCTAGGCCTAGACCACAGGTTCATAATCTTTTTGCCATTACGCCTTCCTTTAGACCAGCGGTTCTCAACCTATGGGTCGCGACCCCATTTGGGGTCGATCGACCATTTCACGGGGGTCGCCAAGCAAGGCTGTCTGCCATTTTTTTCCCCCTTTTCCGGCGGGTGTCTTACCTCCCTTGAGCTGGGCCAGCTGGTGGTCGGCCTGCTCCGTCTCTGCCGCTTGTCAGCTACGCCTCGGCCGGCGCAGGGGGCGGAACCACACATGCGCGGCACTCCTGGGCAGGGAAAGTCCTCGACTTACGACTGGTTGGGTAGTCCTCGACTTACAACCGGTTTAGTCCTTGACTTACGACCGGTTTAGTCCTCGACTTACGACTGGTTTAGTCCTCGACTTACAACCGGTTGGGGGTCGCGGCGTTAAAAAGGTTGAGAACCACTGCTTTAGACTTTACTTCCAACAGTATAATCTTAATGTATACAACTTCCCCTAAACACCCAAAACACCAAAGTGAAGACAAATGAGCAATGAAAAAAATACAATGTAACTTTGGGAACGATGTATTTACTGTAGTAATGTACAATTAAAAGGTTCTTCACATCTTCGCTAGACTCCGGGAGGAAAGTACACCTTACAATGGGGAAACCCTAAAGGACTTGTTGCAATGTTATTCGACCCTTTTAGACATCACATTTTGGGGGTGGAAGTGGCCAACTGCTGTTCTTTACGCACACTGTAAAATTGTAAAGTTGGGAACTTTTTTTTAAAGATTTACAGATATCTGAAGAGCCAATCTTAAGATACACATTATGGTTAATATGGGGGCAATTAGCCCCACGATGCGATGGTAGGCGGCGGTCGAGGTGCTTTTTCTTACAACCAAATCATATGATAAGAAACTACAAACATTTTGCCGCTGCCATTTACCGCTTCACACACAAACACAGTCTCTCTCTCTCTCTCTCTCTCTCTCTCGCACACACACTCACACAAAACCCCGTCCCTCAACTAGAAAGACTAAGAAAGGAATGCTGGGAGATGTAGTTTATCAACAGGCGGAAGAACCGCTCTGAATAGCCGCACGCGAAACCGGAAGTCTTCTCGTTCTGCCTGCGACGTCATTTCCGGCGGAAAGAAAGCTTGACTGCAAGGCTGCCTTTCTTGCTTCTTTCTTTTCGGCGCCATCATGGGTCGCATGCACGCCCCCGGGTGAGTTGGCCGAGGCCGAGGCCTTGGCGTGAGGAGGTCCGAGGAGGACTGGCGGGAACGGTCGCGACTTCCTCCGGTCGTAGTTTTGCGATCTAGTTCAGGAGCGTTTCCTTCGCTTCTGTTAATGGAGGGGCGGGTCGGCCTTTGCTTAGAGGCCGACTTCGTCGAGCCCCGCGGGACTGGCGGTTTCCTCGGGAATCCAGTAGAGCCGCGGAGGAGAGGCGGGTTGTCGCGCCGCACGTTTAGCGCTCCTCTCGCTCGTGCCTTTATTTTCAATGGAACATCCGGGCATCTCTTAGCAAAAGTCTCGGGAGGCGCCGCGTGTAGGAGACGGGGAAATAAGTGTGAAAATTGGAGGCGGCGGTGCCTCGTGGGTTCCCTATACTGGTGCAACGTTTTCGTTACATCGCTCGGATAAAATCAAAAGCTATGCAGCTGTTGTAATTCTGAAAGTACGGCTTCTAGATCAGTCTTTCTCAACCTTGACCATTTTAAGGCATGTGGACTTCAACTCCCAGAATTCCACAGCCAGCATTGCTGGCTGTGGAATTCTGGGAGTTGAAGTCCACATGCCTTAAAATGGTCAAGGTTGAGAAAGACTGTTCTAGATTCACAGCAGGGTTACGTGCTGGCAATTCTAGATCACTACGGTATCAAGCTGGTTAGTATCCTATAGCGAACTGTGTACTTGTCACATTTTCTAAAATATGCTATCTTTGACTTCTCTTTCAACAGAAAGGGTCTGTCCCAGTCGGCCTTGCCTTACAGGAGAAGCGTGCCTACAGTAAGTAGTTCTTCAGCCCGCTGGGGACTTGATTAAAAAGCATCCAACTTGCAAAGTGAAGGATGCAAAATGTTTGTAAACATCCCACAGGCTAAATTATTTTAAATGTGTTTCCTACAATGGTCTTTTGATTTAACAGTTAAGAAATAAAATACCAGGTTTCGCATCTTGCTGAAATGGCAAAAATTTCGGCTTATTTGAAGGATCATTCAAATGAACAATTTTTATCAATATGGAGAAGATGGATTGTTTATATTCAAAATAAGCATAGAATGGTGGAATATAATTTAGGTTTTTAGATAAAAACTTTTTTTTTTATATATATATATATATATTTCACCTACTTATGTAGAATAATACTTTGTGGAGTTAGGGATATTAATACTAGTTTACTTTTNTCTCAACCTTGACCATTTTAAGGCATGTGGACTTCAACTCCCAGAATTCCACAGCCAGCATTGCTGGCTGTGGAATTCTGGGAGTTGAAGTCCACATGCCTTAAAATGGTCAAGGTTGAGAAAGACTGTTCTAGATTCACAGCAGGGTTACGTGCTGGCAATTCTAGATCACTACGGTATCAAGCTGGTTAGTATCCTACAGCGCAGTGGTTCTCAACCTTTTTAATGCCGCAACCCCAACCGGTCGTAAGTCGAGGACTAAACCGGTTGTAAGTCGAGGACTAAATCGGTCGTAAGTCGAGGACTACCCAACCGGTCGTAAGTTGAGGACTTTCTCTGCCCGGGAGCACCACGCATGCGTGGTTCCGCCCCCTGCGCCGGCCGAGGCGTAGCTGGCAAGCGGCAGAGACGGAGCAGACCGACCACCAGCTGGCCCAGCCCAAGGGAGGTAAGGCACCCGCCGGAAAAGGGGAAAAAATGGTGGACAAAAAAATGGCGGACAAATAAAATGGCGGACAGCCTTGCTTGGCGACCCCCATGAAATGGTCGTCCCGACCCACAGGTTGAGAACCACTGCTATAGCGAACTGTGTACTTGTCACATTTTCTAAAATATGCTATCTTTGACTTCTCTTTCAACAGAAAGGGTCTGTCCCAGTCGGCCTTGCCTTACAGGAGAAGCGTGCCTACAGTAAGTAGTTCTTCAGCCCCGCTGGGGACTTGATTAAAAAGCATCCAACTTGCAAAGTGAAGGATGCAAAATGTTTGTAAACATCCCACGGGCTGAATTATTTTAAATGTGTTTCCTACAATGGCCTTTTGATTTAACAGTTAAGAAATAAAATACCAATCTTGCCGTTAATTAGGAAAGCATCTTAATATATGTCCTTACCTATTTCTTAAAACTTCTGTCTTGAGTTAAAAAGCTTTAAAATGAGAACATAAATGTTGATCCTCTCAAAATGATCTGTTACATGTTAAATTGCGAATAATTGCTGAAAATCTAATACTTTAGCATTGTGTCTGAATGGGACAACTTTATAACTTTATGCATGACAGACTCGTGAGGCCGGTGTGATGTGCAATTAGTTCACAGGGTGAAATAAGTTGGGGGGGTTGTAGTCACTGTGAGTTTGTGGTGACGGGGGGGGGCACAGAGGAAGGCTCAGCCAATTTCACTGTATACATGTTATACTTTGATAATAAAGGGTTTATTTATTTATTATTTATTAACATAAACAATGCTCAACCAGTTCCAAGCTCCAAGACAATTATGAGAAAATAAAAAAAAACCAAAACTTGTTACTCTAAGCAGTTTTGCTAGCCTATGGAATTACTTGAGCTACAACCTTCTTTTTGTAGTTTTAATTCATGGTGGTATATGTACAGGTGTCATACATGCAGCTTAGTTTAGTTACAATCAAAGGCATTAATTTGGGGGAAAATAATATTTAACTGACCAGAAGACTATATAGCATTGCAGTTTCATTAAAGTGTTATGAAATTATACTTGTATTTTTTTCAGGGTTAAGTCTATTACTTCTAAAACCACAGTATCAAGAAATCAAAAACTATGTAATTTCAAGGCATCCTACTTTTATTTTTCTTTTGGCAGCTATAATTGTGTATGAAGATGTAGCAAGTGGCACTTTAATGCTTTTTTCCTTACATAATTCTCTACCAAGAGCTTTTTAGTTTTAGTTTTTTATTTTTGCAATTTGAAATAGCAGAATTATTTATTACATGTTCTGTGTTGGGTGGTTGCTATCTGATATATCTGAACTTGAATGGCTGACATTTGAACTTTTTTAGTGGCTGAAACTTACTTCTGATGATGTTAAAGAGCAGATCTACAAGTTGGCAAAAAAAGGCTTGACACCTTCCCAAATTGGTATGTTGAAATAAAATGCTGTGCTAATAGTAACTAATAATATATACATGAGGGCATGTATATTGGCTCTTAGTTATAAGCCA